TGTAAATCCTTTCCTCTTTCCACTAACAATCTTGTTGGTCTAGCCTCTTTAATTTCTTTAGGTCTATTCTCCTCGTATTTCCCTTCATTTTTCCCATTATCAATATCCTCTCTAAACTCGACTCGTTTGCCTTTAGATTCAGTGGCCTGAGCTAGTATCTCTCCTTCCTCTCTTACCTCTCTTTCAACTAAATCTTCCTTGCTGCCAAAGTTTTTCCTATAGAATTCCTCTGCTTTATCTATTGAGTCTAAGCGGAACTTTTTCTCCTGCCATGTAACCAGAATCCCTTCCGGGGTCAACCATCTAAAGTTAATATTTTTTCTCATCAGTTTAAAAGTTATTTGTTGGTAAGGCCTTCTCAAGTCTCTCACTCTTTTAGGTACTTGTTTAAGTACAATCAGTTGTTTACCTCGGTATTCCAATGTGTCATCTCTGAACCTGAAGAGTATTTCGTCTCTAATTGATTTCTTAATAAATCTAACGTGTACTTCTCTGGGAAGATTGTGCCGTCTTGCATAGTTCGTGTGGATTCTGTAAGTCTCATCTATCTCACTGGCCATCTTTTCTCTGCTGGACCCCAGAGCCCCCGCTAGTATATCTGACATTATTACATTTTGAAACCGTAAGTAATGAGCGGCCTTCTCAAGTTCCAGGGAAATAACTGTAGCTTCTAATTCTTTGTTAGCCTGAACTAACCTTTCATTCATTTCATCTACTCTCTGCTCTTTTTTGTCCATCCTTTCCTCCATTTCTGATAATTTTTGTTTGTTTTTCATAATCTGCTGGTGAAAAGATTCAAGTTTCCCATCCATGGACTTGATTTTGTCCTTAAGTTCCCCTGTGTCATTCCTTACTTCCCCTATTTCTTTTTTTTAGATCTTCATGATTCTTGCACATTAACTCTTGGATTGATTGCAACATTTATTGCAAGTCTCTAAATGAGTTTGTCCTATCTTTTTGTGCTATTTCTTCTAGCGATCTTTGCCTAGCAGGGCTCGGCTCCAACAATGTAGTCTGTGATGTCTGTTTTCTCCCTATTCCAACCCTTGTAAGATTGGGGATACTAGACATTTTTTTCAATTCTCCAAACCAACCTCCCCACTTATGTACAAGTTTTATGATATTTTTCAGAATATCAGAATTATCACTAAGAGTCAAAAATTTCTGCTCATATATCTACTTGACATTTACAGACAAGACTGGATACACTAAACAGTCACTTTCCCTTATTATTAGTTTTTTTCCCCTCTTATGGCAATTCTCAGTTTAGCCAGCAGGTGTCACTTTGGCTTTATCTCTGAAATACGATCTGCCTGTTCATTTTAAAATGTCTACCTCCTTGACTTCTTCCAAGCATTCACTCTGAGCCTTAAAGTAAACTTGCCTTCCAAAGTTAAACTTTCCTTCCTTGGAATAAAGAAAGAAAAAAGAGACTCCTCTTCTCCTTAAATCTGACCAACGTAGTAGATGTGTAGGCAAGCCTTTTAAGCTCAAATCTTCCTTTTCGTCGCTTTTCCAGAGATGAGGGAAAATCCCTCCTCCCTCTTGTGAGCATTTGAAATCATCAAAATTCTATCGAAATCCTCCGGAGCGCTTTTACACCGGATCTCTTTTGTCCAGGATCACTGCTCAAATAACTTTTGACTGGAGTTGTCACATCTTCGTCCAGCTATTCCACCGCTATACTTCAGCCAACTGTCAGCTGTCATTCCTTCGCGGCCACCATTGTGGGCTGGTTCCTTCTTCCACTCGACTTGCCAAGGCTTCTCCCGAATTCGCCAGTCCCGACCGCCATCTGGAACCACTCCCCAGGACACCTGGTTATTCCTGGTCCCCCTCCAGGGAACCAGGGACCCCAAAAGGTCTGTCAAGCAATCGGAAATGGGGGTAGACGCTCTGGAGAGTCGTCCATTCTTCTTGGCAGCTGGCCCCGCTGCTATTGTGGTCCCCATTTAGCAAAAGTATGATAAAGATGACCCTTTAGTTATAGATTAATTAGTCTCATAGATATCATAGCTAAATCATAGGCCAAATGTCTTTGATACAAGAATGAGGACTGTATGATTGAAAAGTGCTTTCTACCCAAAGAGTAAACTGGTTTTAAGTCTGGTCACCTCACCATTGATAATGGTTTCATTTTATGTCATCTAATAGAAATATATATACCATTAAGGAGAGACAGATGTTTACAACTTTTATAGGCCTCAGTGCAACATTTGATTTAATAAACAGGGACCGCCTGTGGAAGAAACCTATGGCGCCAAACATAGATCCTACACTCCTCTCTTTATTCAAGGCATTAAACACAAATTTATGCCTAAGGTACACACAGGAATGCACAGTATTTAATACCAAATAAAGGAGTCAGTCAAGGATGTATACTGGCTCCCATTTTCTCTAATCTGGATACAGGTAATCCTTGACTTACAACCATTCATTTAGTAACTATTGAAAGTTACAATGGCACTGAAAAAGAGACTTAATGACTGTTTCCACACTTACAACCTCAAGGTCATTTGATCAAAATTTGCACACTTGCCAACTGACATCTATTTATGGATCATGTGATCATCTTTTGCAACCTTCTGACAAGCAAAGTCAATAGGGAAGCCAGATTTACTTAACAATTATGTAACTAATTTAATAACTGCACTATTTCACTTAACAACAATGGCAAGAAAGATCATAAACTGGGGCAAAATTTACTTAAAAACTATTGCGCTTAGCAATGGACTACCTGAATGAATGAAATCCCAAGGTCCCCCAATTTAACCAATATGCATATCCCCAGAATTAAACATGTAAACATTGTGCTCTATGCAGATGAGGTAGTATTAATGTCATATATCCAGGTAGGGATAATTCATATTGTGCACTCAATGACCTGAAGATCCGGACTATCCCGGATCTCCTAACCTTCCGCCGCGCCCTCAAGACATGGCTTTTTCAGCAAGCGGGACTGACCTAGGGTGAATTTTAAATAGGGAAAATTTTTAAAGATTTTAATAATGACACAGCTATATATATTTGGGTTTTTAATTGGCTTTTATAGGGGAAATGTTTTTTTGTGTTGTTTTTTAACATGCTNAGTTATGTCCTACCTATACATAGGACTGTGTTTCGTAGAAAAAATGGTTTCTGACTCCCACATTTTAAGAGAAGGGCTACAGCAGGTGCCATGCCATAGGTCAGCTCATCAACTATAGTTACTTGGCTCATCTACTTCCAATCATAAAGATATTGTTTATGTATATTGGTAACAAAAAGTTCAAAAGTTATATTAAAACAAGCTTGGAGAACAAACAACAGCCAAAATCTAAAACCCGAGCTGTGAGTATTTTCTATTATTTCAGAAAGATATCGTACATCACCGCAAAATAGTCCCAATGATCATAGATGCCCCTTTAGTGGAAATGATGCGGTCTACTTTTCTCAAATGTATTCTCAGGGTGGATTACTCTTTACCACTTCCAGCAATACGGATCTTGTTGGCTCTACCCCTTATACAAAGCCATCTAGTAATTAAAATATTCAACTAGAAAACATGCAAAACATACCGTGGCTGAAGGTCCTATCTATGGACCAATTTTCAAATGTCTTCACAATGTGGATTCTCCATCCAAATCCCAGCTCAATCTGATCTAAAGGCCAAAGAAGTTATCAAAGAGTCATTGATGTAGCTGCCCAGGAGTACTGTTGTTGTACTGCCTTCTCACTCCTCAGGCCTTTGACCTGGAGCTTAATGCAGCTGTGTATTGATTTAGGACTGACTTTGGACTTTCTTTGGCATTTCTGGGACTGAATCAAAGTAATCGGTATTGCTGGAACAACATGTCCAGTTTCTTGTGTTCCTGTTTGTATATTGACCTCTGGCTCTGTGTATTGATTTAGGACTGGCTTTGGACTTTGTTTGGCATTTCTGGGACTGAATCAAAGTAATCAGTATTGCTGGAACAACATGTCCAGTTTCTTGTGTTCCTGTTTGCATCTTGACCTCTGGCTCTGTGTATTGATTTAGGACTGGCTTTGGACTTTGTTTGGCATTTCTTGGATTGAATCTTGTCAAGAGTTCATCTCGTATGGGGTTTGTAACCTGGCCAGCTCGTCATTTGGTTTACTAATGAAACTGTTTAGGGTTTTTAATAAAAAACTTTCAACTTTCCATTGTGAGCATGTGTGCATTAGTGGAGCAGCACAATGAGGGCCTGGTAGGAGTTGGAGAACTGAGCCTGATTCTAATCAGTTTGAAGGGGTTGCATGCGTGGGAGGCCACAGTGAAGAGTGTGTGCTGAGGGCGAAAGTCTGGTTGAGGCATAGTGAAGAGCCAACTTGGTGTCAGAGCTGCAGCATAGAAGGATGACAAGCTGGGGGCGACTGGAAGCAGGAACTGGCCCAGAGAGTCAACAGGGGCCTTGGAAGTGAATACATGGCCCAGATCAGAGATCAAGGCCAGAGGGAACAGTGCTGTGCTCAGACATCAGAGATGGATTTGGGGCCCTCTGTAAGGTGGTTTGGTGCAAGTAGCGGCATAAAGGTCAATGAGCTGGCAACTGGCATTGGAAGTCCGATTGGGGCTACAAATCTGCAATTGGAGCCCAGAAGCTGGCAATAACTTGAAGAAGGCCAGATCTTCTGAAGAACATTGGTTGAATGTTGAATCATTTTTTCTAAAGAAAGTCCAGAAAGAGATTGAAGACGTGTTTGGCTTCTCAGGGACAATTTCCTATCAGGATCAGAGAAAGTTCCCCTACACCAATGCTGTGATTCATGAAACGCTATGTGTAAAACATGTCTTTCTAGATGTAGCTCCTAGGCAAAGTACAAAGGATGTGTAGTTGACAGGTAATGCTTAGTATACAAATTCTAAATTGTCCCAAAATAATTTGGAACATTCATGGAAATGAGGTATGCTACTGTCTGAGATTGTCTGACAGGATTTCAGCTCTTATACCAGCCCTGATTCCAAGGCAGAGGAAGAGAGGTGAAAATGATCCTCTGGGAGAACTTGGTAGTATGAAGATGCTTTGTTCCATAGGTAGCTTTCTATGGGGCTCTGCATAAGGAATCAAGTATAAGCTGTGAGTACTGCTGACATACTGCCTTCCTCACTGTCCAGGCCTTTGACCTCATTGCCCTGATGTTGGTAAATTCATCCAGGCTTATTATACTCCAAAATGACAATCTCTAGGCCATCAATGCAGGGTCTGAGTGGCTCAGAAATTCATGGCCACCAAGACAAAACCAAGAAGTTATCATGATACTCACTCACACTGACAGCAATACACACTTGGTCTGGTTTGTTCCTTAGCTAACATGTGATCTGAAGATCTAAGACATTCACGTCACTTGTGGTGAGATCACTTTCCATATACCAACAAACTCGCTGCTAGGACCCAGCTCCCTGTTTCGATTGCATCGAACCAGATCCAACTGGTTTCCAAGAGGCACTTGAGGAAATGTCCCACAAGCCTAGCAGGTCCTTCTACTTGCAATCTACTGAGTCTCCAGAATACGTGGATAACAAAGGGACCAGGCAGGATTAACCCCAAGGGGCCTCTTTCCTTCCATTGAATCAGAGGAAGAATTTGAATAAGAATTCTGGGAGAGGAATTGCCAGAAACTGCAGAATTAGAGCAGACAAGCAAAGTCAATAGGGAAGGCAGATTTACTTAACAATTATGTAACTAATTTAATAACTACACTATTTCACTTAACAACAATGGCAAGAAAGATCATAAACTGGGGCAAAATTTACTTAAAAACTATTGTGCTTAGCAATGGACTACCTGAATGAATGAAATCCCAATGTCCCTCGATTTAACCAATATGCATATCCCCAGAATTAAACACATAAACATTGTGCTCTATGCAGATGAGGTAGTATTAATGTCATGTATCCAGATAGGGATAATTCATATTGTGCACTCAATGACCTGAAGATCAATAGATTCAAACCTAAAGTAATTGTTTTGAGGAAGAGGCAGAGTATGTATAGTTGGAACTTGGATAGGGAATGTACCCCTTTATTTCATAAAGATATTGTACATAGCAGCAAAATCATCCCAATGATCACAAATGGCACAGATTTGTAGGACTATATGACTGCCCCTTTAGTGGAAATGATGCAGTCTACTTTTCTCAAATGTATCCTCGGGGTGGATTACTCTATACCACTTCCAGCAATATGGATCTAGTTGGCTCTCCCGCTTATATAAAGCCATCTAGTAATTAAAATATTCAACTAGAAAACATGCAAAACATACCGTGGCTGACAGTCCGATCTATGGACCCAGATAGATTACCTGAGCATGCTACCTTGCAATTGGGCTATCCAATTTTCTTCACAATGTGGATTCTCCATCCAAATCCCAGTTCAATCTGATCTAAAGGCCAAAGAAGCTGTCAAAGAGTCATTGATGTGGCTGCCAAGGAAAATAACATGTGAGTACTGTTGTTGTACTGCCTTCTCACTGCCCAGGTCTTTGACCTGGAGCTTAATGCAGCTGTGTATTGATTTAGGACTGACTTTGGACTTTGTTTAGCATTTCTGGGACTGAATCAAAGTAATCGGTATTGCTGGAACAACATGTCCAGTTTCTTGTGTTCCTGTTTGCATCTTGACCTCTGGCTCTGTGTATTGATTTAGGACTGGCTTTGGACTTTGTTTGGCATTTCTTGGATTGGATCCTGTAAAGAGTTCATCTCGTGTGGGGTTTGTAACCTGGCCAGCTCGTCATTTAGTTTACTAATGAAACTGTTGAGGGTTTTGAATAAAAAACTTTCAACTTTCCATTGTGAGCATGTATGCATGAGTGGGGCCTGGTAGGAGGTGGAGAGCTGAGCCTGATTCTAATCCAGTGCCAGTCTGAAGGTGTTGCAGGCGTGGGAGGCCACAGTGAAGAGTGTGTGCTGAGGGCAAAAGGCTGGTTGAGGCATAGTGAAGAGCCAACTTGGAGTCAGAGCTGTAGTACAGGAGGATGACAAGCTGGGGGGACTGCAAGCAAGAACTGGCCCAGAGAGTCAACAGGGGCCTTGGCAGTGAATACATGGCCCAGATCAGAGATCAGAGGCCAGAGGGAACAGTGCAGTGCTCAGACATCAGAGATGGATTTGGAGCCCTCTGTAAGGTGGTTTGGTGCAAGTAGCGGCATAAAGGTCAATGAGCTGGCAACTGGCATTGGAAGTCCGACTGGGGCTAAAAATCTGCAATTGGAGCCCAGAAGCTGGCAATAACTTGAAGAAGGCCAGATCCTCTGAAGAACATTGGTTGAATGTTGAATCATTTTTTCTAAAGAAAGTCCAGAAAGAGATTGAAGACGTGTTTTGCTTCTCAGGGACAATTTCCTATCAGGATCAGAGAAAGTTCCCCTACACCAATGCTGTGATTCATGACCTCATTGCCCTGATGTTGGTAAATTCATCCAGGCTTATTTTACTCCAAAATGACAATCTCTAGGCCATCAGTGCAGGGTCTGAGTGGCTCAGAAATTGATGGCCACCAAGACAAAACCAAGAAGTTATCATGATACTCACTCACACTGAGAGCAATACACACTTGGTCTGGTTTGTTCCTTAGCTAACATGTGATCTGAAGATCTAAGACATTCACGTCACTTGTGGTGAGATCACTTTCCATATACCAACAAACTCGCTGCTAGGACCCAGCTCCCTGTTTCGATTGCATCGAACCAGATCCAACTGGTTTCCAAGAGGCACTTGAGGAAATGTCCCACAAGCCCAGCAGGTCCTTCTACTTGCAATCTACTCAGTCTCCAGAATATGTGGATAACAAAGGGACCAGGCAGGATTAACCCCCAAGGGGCCTCTTTCCTTGCATTGAATCAGAGGAAGATTTTGAATAAGAATTCTGAGAGAGGAATTGCCAGAAACTGCAGAACTAGAGCAATACAGGTAGTGCTCAATTTACGACCACAATTGATCCCAAAGTTTCTATTGTTAAGTGAGACATTTGTTAAGTGAGTTTTGCCCCATTTTATGACTTTTCTTGCCTTGGCTGTTAAGTGACTCACTGCAGTTGATAAGTTAGTGACCAGGATGTAAGCGAATTTGGCTTCCCCATTGATTTTGCTTATCAAAGGTCACAAACGGTAATCACATGATTTTGGGACACAGCACTGATCATAAATATGATCCATTTGCCAAGCATATGAATTTAGATCACATGATCCTGGGGATGCTGCAAAGTCGTTACTGTGAAAAGTGGTCATAGGTCATTTTTCAGGGCTGTTGTAACTTTGAAAGGTCACTAAACGAACTGTTGTAAGTCGAGGACTACCTGTACTGTCAAAAATATTAGGGGAAGGTTGTAGAGAAAGTGATTAGGCTGTAGAGAGCTTCAGATGAAGCACAGAATTAGATCCAGTCTAAGTTCAGCTCTAAGTGTGGGATGAAAAATGGATTGGTTGCTCTAGTGGATGTTCTGCCTTGGGGTGTGGATGGGAGCCACAATCTTTCTTCTTCCGTTAGTTCTCTCAGCATCATTTCAACCCTTCAAGCATGGCATCCCTTTGGTCGATCTATGCAGTTTGCCCTGAGTGGGGAACATGGTCCATAGGAGAAATTTAGTAAAAATGAAAAAGATAAGAAAAATAAATGGAAAGTAATATGTTTTATTGGCGCCCAAAAGGAAACAAAGATAAAGCATGATAAGCTTAGTTAGCACATTTTTCAAACATAGTCTTTGGTTGACCTTGTTAGGTATGTTGTGTGAACCCAGCAATAGGTTAAAGAAGTTTCAGTATTGAGTAAATAGAAGCAAAGCACAATATTAAGTGAATAGGTACATAGGAAACATTCGTCATACTGAATACCTATTCTGTAATAATTTAATGCTTTTTATGGGGTTTAATTTTAAGCCTTTGTGGGAATAGCACACAGTTTGTAAGGGTGTGGATGCATTGTCACATTTACAATAGGGGCTTCATTGAGTTCTTTCACTCCTTCAGGCAACCGGAAGCTGAAGGCCCTCAACAGATTGGTCAGAAAGATGAAGATCTCAATTTTTGCCAGCTGCTCTCCCACACATATGCGTTCACCTGTAGATATAAAAGCATGCATAAAGGGGATAATAATCAATTCTCCAGAATATATCCCATCAGCAAGGAAACGTGAAAGAAGATTGAATCTTCCTGTCTTCTAGTATTGCTTATTGATTAGCACATTATTATTTAGTACACAGGAACAGCTTTTGGAGATAATGCTTTGAATCTATTGATGTGGTTAGCCATTGGTCAATCTGCAGTTTATAAGCCCTGGTGGGGCAGTGGTTAGAATGCAGTATTGCAAGCTAACTCAGGTCACTACTAGGAATTTGATTATGAGGACTCTAGCTTGACTCATCCTTCCAAGGTCGGTAAAAGGAGGACCCAGATTGTTGGGGGCAATATGCTGATTCTGTAAACCACTTAGAGAGGGCTATAAAAGCACTATGAAGCAACATATAAGTCTAAGTGCTAAGTGCTTGCTATTGCTAAACAGAAATAATGCCAATTTAAGCAGACCATCTATTTCTTGCTCAGGAATCCCTGACCATAAAGGTGATGGGCAGGACCAGGATACCAAATTGCATAGGAAGGTTTTTAATAAGGAGGAACGCTATTGGTGATACTGATAAAGTCTTAGACTACCTTGTAACCTTTAACATGTAACCTTTAGCAATAGCAATAACAATAGCGGTTAGAGTTATATACCACTCCATAGGGCTTTACCGCACTCTTCTGAGCAATTTACACTATCAGCATATTACCCCCAACAATCAGGGTTCCCATTTTACTGACCTCAGAAGGATGGAAGGCTGAGTCAAACATGAGCCGGTCAGGATCGAACAGCTTGGTGTGGGCAGTTCAAGCTTTAGCTGAACTAAGCAACCCAAACTCATTTTATTATAAGGTGGATGACATATTGATTAATTAAAACTGCCTTACTATGACCTGAAGACATAAGCAAGATGTATGCTACTTTTAATGATTATTTTATCATGATAGGTATTTCCATGATTGGCATCATGGCAATGTATGCTTTTCAAAATTGCATCAAAGGGGGTCCACTCCAAGCAGAGGTGTGCCCATTCAGAACTTGCTTCCGGGTAGACCTTTTATTTACATATAAAAGGGTTTTTTTTTCCTTTCCGGTGTGGGTCATTGGGCCTGTATGTTTAGGTAGGAGGACATGAGTTTTGGGGGACAACAATAGTTTTTCATATCTATCATAACTGTGCCTTTTATGCCCTTTGTTATCAGCACCAGCAATAGAGAAAGATTCATTGGTGTACAAGCAGTACCAGACAGGATGAGAATGCTGTTGTAGGGGGAGCTTGCAGCCATTAAAAAGACTGAGCTTAATGCATCTAGGACCAAAACTCTGTGATGCAGATCCATCATTAAGAAGCTGAAAGTAGGCTTGTTTTCTTTGGATTTAGCTAATAATTCTCCCCCACCCTCTGGAACGAACTACCCCCAGAGATCCGGGTGATCCCGGATCTCCCCTCCTTCCGCTGCGCCCTAAAGACATGGCTCTTCCAACAAGCGGGATTGGCCTAGGGAATTTTTAGTGGGTTTTAAGAGAAATTTTAATTATATAGGCCATAGTTAATATTTCTTTTTAATTTGGTTTTAAATTAGGTATTTATTGTAGTATCTGTTTTATAAGGCTGTTAGCCGCCCTGAGTCCGGGAAGGAGAAGGGCGGGATATAAATCGAATAAATAAATAAATAAATAAAATAAATATAACTGTGCAATCTTGTAGATCTTACAAAGCTCTGTTGATTACAATATAACTAGCATTTCCTTGTAGTTTAAACTTTATAGCCTAGGAGGAATTTCAGACTCTCATGGTTATGAAAGTAGAAGGAATAGAGATTGCTGGATTTTCTATTCAGTCCATGATGACTTCAGATTAACACAGTGATGGGGGTGACAGGAATCTATAAGTGATAAACTGCTTTGTGCTCATGGACATACCTATTCCGAAGGGCAGAAACTCTTCTCGTTCAATGAACTTCCCATCCTTATCTAAAAAGTGATTTGGGTTGAATTCTTCAGGTGTCTCCCATTGTTTAGGGTCAAGAAGAACAGAACGCAGGTCTGGCAAAATCATGGTCCTCTGCAAAAATATTCAGACAATATTGATGAAATGTTTGGTTTTAGCTTGTCTTGATAGACCCATATTTATTCATTTCCAAAGCAGTTTCTGAGAGCAGTGGCTGTTCTTAGCATTTCTCACCTTTGGAATGTGGTAACCCTTCACCGTCACATCCTTTGTACTTTGCCTGGGAATCCCAGCTAGCAAGACATTTTTTAAACGCTGCATTTCATGAATCACGGCATTGGTGTAAGGTAGCTTCTTCCGATCCTGATAGGAAATTGAGGCCGAGGAACTAAAGGCTTCTTCAATCTCCTTCTGGACTTTCTCTAGAAAAAACAACAGAAATAGAAGCCTCTTTTTCATTATTATGTTTCATTTACTCGTTTCCAAATTTTAATGCTTAACAGAACTTTAGGACATAGAATAGCTTTTAGGGCATTAAATGTAATCCCATCCTTTTAAAAAAATATTATGAAGGAGAGCAGATTGAAAATGCATTTCCTGTGCTCTGATCACATCCAGTCCAAACAGGTGCAGAATATTGATTCAGTTTACATATTCCATGGAATCTTTTTCAATCTACACTGTGTGCACAATTATTAGGCAAGTGAGTATTTTGACCGTATCATCATTTTTATGTCTATTTTCTTTTTTCTTTTTTTAAAACAAGTTTTATTGTTTTTTTCATTTTACAAACAAGTGCTTAAGAAACAACGTGGTGGCAGGGTAATCAATTGTCCACAAAACAAATTCATAAAGTTCGAATTAAGTCATTAAAAACCTCCTCTCTTTTCCCTCTAATGACATATTATATTCAAATTGATATATTACAATACAACTAAATCAGTCATAGCAATCCTCAATAATCTTTCATCTAAATAAATCTACAAATCCAAATCCTGTGTTGAGTTTAACTATTTCACTTACTGTGTTCCATATTTCTAATCTAAATACCTAGTTAACACTTCGGGGGTCTCCCCATAACCTTTTTCCTTAACATATTCAATAAGCAATTATTAATATCATTTCTTCCTTTTTCTTATTCCTCTTCCATTACAAATGACTATCAATTCTAATAAGAAAAGAAAATATTAATTCAAATCAGAAAGGG